GCCCAGGGAAGTGGCTGAGTCCCCATCCCTGGAGGTATTTAAAAGACGTGTAAATGAGGCACTTAGGGACATGGTTTAGCGGGTGGTGGTGTTGGGTCGATGGTTGGACTCGATCTTAGAGGTCTTTTCCAACCTCAATGATTCTATCATCAGGACTAAGCTACCGTGAAACAAGACGTCTGTGTGGTGAGGAGAATGCATCCCTGTTTGAATAGTATATGACCTGCTCTCAGCTATGCACACGATGATGCTATTCTAGCCTGTTAGAGGTGGCAAGGAGGAATCTCTGAAGTTATCACAACATGCTGTGAAACCTCAGTAATGCCATACTACAGCTGATTGACTGCTCATCTGATCTGTAATGGGAAATACAATGCTCCCAATTTGAGCAAACTAATAGAAGGCATGCTTGATGAGAAAGGACTGATTGCCTTGAGTGGGGTGAACCTGCAAGTGATATAGAATACTTACCAATCTCATCACCCGCTCGCCTTATTTGAAAGCTCACCCCCCTGGCATTTTTAATATAAGCACATATTACTAAAAATAATTCCAAAGCAAACATTGTCTGTATATATTTTTATTAAGGAAAGGATCAAACATCTAAGACATGCTAGCTGTAATATTCAATGCCTTCATTTGGCTTGGCTAGTAGAATGATGGAAGCCATGTAGGAACAGATACCTAACATGTAGATAAACAGAATGATCAAAAATGTAATTTTAGCAGGAATATGTCAATGTTCTTAGTTGTAAATTTAGTCAGAAATGCAACAAGTACAAATCTTTTTATGTTAATAGAAATAAATTTTAAAATATTTATTTAAGAGAATGGAGTAAAGAAGACAGAGTAAGTAACCTTGTAAAATGACAGATAACTTAATATATGAAGGCAAAATTAACATGTGAGATCAATGGGAAGTGAAGCTGGTATTGAAAAAATAGCCAAACCAAGGAAAATTAGTTAATAATTGTGAAGAACTGTTGTAACTTAATAGCCCTAAAACAAGAAGATATAACCAACTAACTTTGACTAAAGCATTTAATAATGGTAGTCATAATTTATTAATTCAATAATTACTTCAACCATTGGCTGTATAAAGAAAATTCCGTAACCAATGCTAACAAATATTGTACCTAATATTCACTACTTGATTTGCTTTTATGAGCAAATATTTGTATTTACATAATTTTAATTATATTGTTCCCTTAGAGATGTGGGATAAGTGAAGATAGTAAAGAAGCACAAGATACTGGACAATCTCTATCTTCTTCATGGAAACTGGATTATAAATTGACAAATGAATCTTGAAAATGCTACAGTTCTAATTCTATTGCTAAAAGAGAAGCATAATGACATTAATTTGCCTAATGTGCATTAAACAATTAAAATCAGAAAATGGAAAACCACATTGACTTTCATGTATGTTTCATAAAATGTTATAAAAACTGACTGCAGTTGAAACACAGGCTGTTTTATGAATAAAACACTTTGATTGTTCTTAGTGATGATTTTTGATGGTTATATCCTGCTTTTTTTAAATGTGTATTTTTCAGATAGATTAAAAGCCATCTCACAAATTATTAAAAAGGAGTGTGCTGCATGGCAATAACATTTAAAATTTTATTAATACAATCACTGTCTTTATATTATTCTGCTTAGATGCTTTTCCAGCTCTAATATATTTATTGAAGCCTGAAAGCCATTAGGTTGTTCCAGTTTGGGGTGAAAAAATGCCTTTAGAAAAAGGCATAACAAGTTTCAAGAAAGCAGGTGTTACTGAACTGAAAGGATAAATGGGTAAGATTTCCTTGGGAAACATGTTTATTAGAAAAGTGGTTTAGGAGAGTTCGTAGCTCCTTGAAGAAACTCTTTAAGAATGTACATGCAAAGTATTCCAGTGCAAGGAATGGGAAGAATAGTTCTAGCTAAATTAGCTCTTCAACGATTTAGGCTAATTAGTAAAGGAGGAGTATGAGACGCAGGCAAATATAGAAGACAGTATTAGAATCATAGCATGATAGAATCGTTTAGGTTGGAAAAGACCCTTAAGATCATCAAGTCCAACTGATAACCTAACACTGCCAAGTCCACCACTAAACCATGTCCCTAAGTGCCACATTTACACGTCTTTTAAATACCTCCAGGGATGGGGACTCAGCCACTTCCCTGGGCAGCCTGTTCCAATGCTTGATAACTCTTTCAATTAAGACATTTTTCCTCACATCCAATCTAAACCTTCCCTGGCACAACTTGAGGCCATTTCCTCTCCGTCTATCACTAGTTACTTGGGAGAAGAGACCGATACCCACCTCGCTACAACCTCCTCTCAGGGAGTTGTAGAGAGCAATAAGGTCTCCCCTCAGCCTCCTTTTCTCCAGGCTAAACAGTCCCAGT